ACAACTTCCCTTTTATTTTAAAATTATTCCTTTTCCTCTATTTACTTAGAATTTGATTTACTCTTCTTTTTCTAACTTCTTAAAGTAGAAACCTAGATCATGTGTTTTACAGCTTCCTTTTTTCTAATGTAGGTATTTGAAGCTATAAATTTTCCTTCAAGCACTGCTTTAGTTGCATCCCATAAATTTTCATGTTATAACTTTTTAGTTTCCTAGTCTTATCATCATTCAGTTGGAAGTGATTTCTAATTTTCCCTTTGACCTATGAATAACTTAGAAGTGTTTTGATTAGTTTTCAAATACTTGGCCAAATTTCCAGCTATTGTTATTGATTTTCAATACCATTGTAGTCAGAAAATAAATTCTACATGCTATGATTTTCATGATTTGAAACTTCCTGCTTTTTTTTGTAAATGCCAGTATTTATGACTATTATGAAGGCAGTGGTAAAAAAGTACATTGTAAGAAAGTTTGAAAGAATCACTTAAAATATCTTAACAATTTAAAAATCATTGTAAATTCAAGTGTTTTTCTTCTTCTAAATTTTTACTTGATATGATAGTGAAGGCCGTATGTTTATAAACAGGCATTCATGAGTACAGTATATCTTACACACAAAATATTCAGACCACGATTCTTCTGTAAACATAACTATTGTCTATCTACTGCTATCAATTGTAGGGTTGGAACACACTTAGAAACAGATGACTGATTTTAAAAAAAAAGAAAATGCATCTTTCATTCAGACAGACTGCTGACAGTGAATGCTGGTTGTTAAGAATCCAAAGGATTTGCTAATCCTTATGTCCCATAATTTTTGCAGGCAGTTTGTGCTCTACATTGCTCTTTGGCCATATTAATCTTTCATTCCAATGCTTTTTCTTAGTTCAGCTGTGGTTTTTTCCAGTTGTTTAACGTTCCATTGCCATTGTCTTCCGTTTGACTGAAGTTTGTTCACCTGACAGTGCAAACGCTTAAGGATTGCACCATATCTCTTATGTTGTACCTCTATTTCTTTTCTTAATTTTTCATGGGTATTTTTTTCTTCCTCAAGAAAACCAGTTTTTTCAATGAGAGATTCTTTTACAGTTATATTTGAGCCTTTAGCTTTGTAATGTCTTCCTGTACTTGTTTCATCTGGTTTCCTTCTGGATTTTGGGCATCTTGTGTAAGTTCCTCTTTCACTGTCGTTAGTTTTTTAACGAGATCTCGTTTTTCATGGAGTTCAGTCAGGAATGACCATTTGCTTTCTATCTCCCCCAAACTATCTTTATGTACTTTCATTTTTGCATAATATTCATTATATCTTAGCATGTGTTCCTCAAAGTCTTCTTGGGCTGCTTCTATGTCAAATTTAAGCTTTACATTTTCTGTATGTAAAGATTTGATTTGAGTTTGCAGGTTTCCACACTGAAGCTTGGTATTTTCTATGGCAGCATCTTGTTGATGAATTTGCTTTTCTCTTTCTTTAGTTTCTGCAGAAA